ACCACACGCAGCACCCAGATTTGGGTTTCTAATATCATTCTCCAATAAAAGAAACCAGGGACCTCTGGAGAAATGCCTGATTCTAGAACTGGGGCAGGAGAGTAGAGCCATCCTGTAGAGCCAGAAAGTAGGGAGGTGCTTTATATTAAAAAATGTGATGGAGGTACGTCAAGGACAGAGGAACCAATTTAAAGAACTACCAATGTCCAAAGCTGGAACAGTTTGAGCAAGAAAGTCAATAAAGTAGTACTGGATTATAACCCAAAGCATAAGATAAATATCTGTGGATCTATAATGACATAAATGCACATTTGAATAAATAAATAAGTCTCCAGTATAGAAACATTCCAAATAATTTATGTAGATGTGCCATTCTTGGGAAGATAGAGAGTAAATCCCCAATCTGTAAGTGTGGGCTGCACATTTCTTTCCAAAAGTACAATGTGGAAAGGTGGGAGAGGGAGAAGTGTAACTTCATGATGAATGAACTTGGCAAACTGCCTCAGCATGGAGATCAAAGTCAACATCAACAGTGATGAATCATGTTGATAATATGTCCCCTTGATGTGCTATGAGAATGATACTTTATCTCATGGTTTTCTCCCCAAAACACATTACCCTAGTCTAATCATGAGAAAAACACCAAATTCCAGTTTAGGAACAGTCTACAGAATACCTGACTAAGGATCCTCAGAACTGTCAAGGTCATCAAAAAGAAGAAAAGCCTGAGAAACTGTCACAGCCAAGAGGAGCCCAAGGACATGTGATGACTAAATGTAGTGTGGGATCCTAGAACATAAAAAAGATATTTGGGAAAAACTAAAGAAATATGAATGAAGTATGGACTTCAGTTGCTAATAATGAATTAATAGCATTTCCTTACTTGTGGCAAACATATCATTCTAATGTCAGATGTTAACAGTAGAGGCAATGGGAAAGAGTAGATGGGCACTGTATTATCTTCACAATTTTTCCATAAAGCTAAAACTATTCTAAAATAGAAAGTTTTTTCAAAACATTATCTTGCCTGATGCAACCTCAGGAAAATGCTGCACGTGGGACAGCACGTGGAGTTGACCAAAGTAATGAACCTAGGTGATCCTTGGAGCTGACTGTAGAGGTGAGGACATGTGGGTTCCTCCTCAGCTGATGCTGTCAGCCTTGAGGGGCGCTGGTCGCTTTTACCTTTTGGGATCTGGAATAGCGACGCAAAAGAACTTACCATTGGGGAATCGTCGCAGCTTGTCTGAGTCCTGCCCACAGGAGTTGCCCTATCCGGATTTCAACAAATCGCCCTCTGTGGTGTCCAAGTGCCGAGGAGAACCCAAGCACCATGTAAGCAGTCAGAAACTGGCCAAGACTGTGGCCCATATTCTGCAGGGGAAACGAAGAACTCAACAACTATTATTGAAGTACAATCCAGGTCCTGGAATCCTGACTCGGGCATTGCTTGAAACTGATGCCACAGTGGTTGCCCTTGAAAGCGACGGAACATTTATTCTACATTTGGAGACCTTAGGAAACAATCTGGATGGACAGCTAGACGTCGTCCACTGTGACTTCTATAAAATGGATTCTAGAAATAGTACATAAGTCAAGCCACCCATTCTGATTTCACATACTCTTTTTCAGAATTTGGGAATAAAGGCATGTCCTTGGTCAACAGGGGTACCTTTAAAATAAGGTGACCAGATTTTAACACTGGTAAAGCAGGGCACCATTGATGGGGGCAGGGGGGGTGTCTTAATTAAAAATTTGGTCTATATGGAGCAACAAAAATTTTCATAGAACACAAAAATAGTATTGTAATATATATTTTTTAATTTCAACATAAGTACAACTTACAAATATAATACATTTAAAAAATTATGTATAGTATTATTTTATTCTTTGGCATATTTCTCATTTGAGTGAATTTTTTTAAGTAGATTGCTGTCATTGTTTAAAAGGTAAGGAAATTTTCACAAGAATTTGTTAAATTATATTTCACACATAAAATGGCTTTCAAAGTCTCAACACTTAATTGTGATTTTTCTGATGTCCACACTTTATTTGCCGCAGAAGTTTAGTTTACTCTTTAAAATCTTTTTTGGTCAAACACCTTACAATGTATTAAATATTAAACTTCCATCCTTGTTGGTTTTCTATCCTACTACTGTGGGGCCAAGGAGTCTGTACATTGTTAAGCTTAGAAAGTAAACAAAAGTGGTTTGTTTTACTTTTCAGTTTGTTGAACTGTATTAGCAAATACTGTACAATGAAATTATTTAAATTTTAATATGATTTAAACTTTTTTCAAAATTAAAATATTTTAAGTAATTAAAAAAAAAATTATTAGGTAGTTTATGGAATCTCAGAAGACCAGAGAGATGAAGCTTTGGTGTCTCTATTGGCAGGAAGAAGGCTCCAGTGGCACGACCAGCTTCTAGGCACAGTCACACTAAATCCCATCTGGGTGCCGAACAAGCATCAGGACAAAGCACAGGTCTCCGTGGCAGAATCTGACTGATTTTAGACAGATACATATTCTAACCCTGGTGGGCATGTCCTATAATATTTTATATTTCCGTTTTCATGCTTCCGTATCTGTATCTTTCTGAAACAGAAGAGGTAAATGCTAGTTATCCTGCTAACTTCAGAAGGTGGAATTCAAAATACAGGAAGTTACCTGACACTGCTCAGTGTGAAGGAAGGACCACAGAAGTGTGGCAAATGTTCTGCCCAGTGACATGGTTCTATTGCATGTCTGTGGATCGTGTTACTCCTGAAAGCCAATAAACTCTTAGATGTAGTGAATCTTTTGCCATGTTGCATCAGAACAAACAAACAATTAGGATCTTGTGGGGCTGCCCCGCCCTGGCCTGCTTCATTTCGTGCCACACTCCAGCCACTCCAGGCTTCTCCCTGTGCCTTGGATATGTCAAACTCTCTCTTTGCATTTTCTGTTCCCTCCATCTTTCCTGTCTGTGCCCCCACCCTGCTCACTGCCTAAGTCCTGCTTCCCTTTCAAGGCGCAGCTTGTGTGTCTCTTCCTCAGGAAGCCTTATGAAATCCTTTTGCTTTAGGCTTCCATAGAACAATAAAAATTCCCTTTTTGAAAACACACGGACTTAAATGGGTAACCTGTGTGTGTTTCAAGAGTCATTCAGTCAGGCAACAAAGTTTGACATGCCCTTTCTCAATGTTGCAATTAAATATTCCTGAAAAATATATACTTTTGCATTGGAATATCAAAGGAGAGAAAAAAATACTTGACCCACCCCTACTGACTGACTAATCCTAACTCTGGTGGGCATGTACTATATTTTATTTTTCAGTTTTTAATGCTTAATCTATCTAGTCTCCCCCACCCTCCACCCTTTCTTGGTTTTTTCCTCTTTGTTTCTTTCTCTGTTTTTTTTTTTCTCTTTTTCTTCCTTTCTTTCTCTTGCTCTCTCTTTTTCTCATGTGACTACTTTTTCTCATATGCTTTCTTGCTTTTATTTTCCCAGTGCTTTGGAAGATAAACTGTTATATATGGGTGTTTTGTGTGTGTGTGTTTGGTTGTCTAGCACTTTCCCTTTTCCTTACAAAGCACCCTGGTTTCTGGGATTATCAGCATCATTCCTGGCATCTTCAGGGTGGTTGGGGCAGAGCCCTAAGCTCAGGGGCTGCCACTGGCTCCCTTGCAGACCCCACCTGGCTAGGACTCTGACCACACCCCACAAGGTAGTTCATTGCCTCGCTCATAAATTTCAGACCCTCTTTTCTTCCACTTCTCTGTTTTTACTCTCAACTTCCAGAGGTCTCCCTGCCAACTTCCTTTTTTTTGTCACAGAATGAATAACTCTGCTTTTGCAGCAGAAGGCTTGCACTTCCTTACTCCTTGTTATTTTTGGCCCCTCAACTGTTTCCCGAGGTTAACCCAGTATTTCACATCCTGTAAAGCAAACTGCCTTTCCCACACATTCACCTATACAACCAGGAATGAAAGAGTACACACGGAGGGAGGCCTTGACCCAGGCAGCATTTTATTCTAAGGAAGCTTTAAGGACTGAAGGCCACTTCCCAGGCACAAGGCCCAGGGAGAGAGGAGTGCAGGGGAGGTGAGGGAGAGAGACTGGATGGGCAGAAGGCAGGGCTGGGCACCAGAGTGAGTGGAGGGAGAAGGGAGGCTGAGTGCTGGCCCTGCTCTGAATGAGATGCATGGCCGTGTCAGCCCCTGGCTTCAGAGGACGCTGGGGATATGCCATAGGCAGGGTCACCAGGAGCAGAGCCCTTCCTATTGCAAACAGCCACCTGCCAGCCACCAGCACTGCTAAGTAGGGATTTGGGGGAACTGATAGGAAGAGCCCCAAGTGACAGTATCAGGAAGTCTGCTTGATTGATCTGAAGCAACACGTCAGTGGTTTTCAACAAGTGTGCCATGAGAGGATCTTAGGTGTACCATGAAAATTATTTTCAAAAGAAATTCAAAACATGGTATATTCTTTTATTTACTCTTTTTTTTTTTTGCAGTTTTTGGCCAGGGCTGGGTTTGAACCCGCCACTTCTTGCATACGGAGCTGGCACCCCACTCCTTTGAGCCACAGGCACGGCCCTCTTTTTTTTTTTTTGATCAACATAATTTAAGTGTGCTGCGAAGTTTAACTACAGGTTCAAGTGTGCCATGGGATAAAATAGGTTGAAAAATGCTGGTCTATGTGATAAAACTGAAGCTTTTCTGAAGGAGTGGAAAAGCCCAAGGCATTGCCCCATATTACAATCCTTGTCCTGCTTACCAAGGCAATGGGAACTTCTAAATGCTTTCCCCCATCCCTTCCCATTTTATCCCAAATTCTCCTTTTTATTCCAGCTGCGTCTGTGGAGTCAGAGAATTACCAGTCAAGGTAGATAGACTGGTACACTTTTGAAGCAAGAACAATTAAGGTGCAAAGTCATGCTGGCAATGGAGGAGAAAAAGGCATTTCTTCAAGTTCAACAAGCGTTGGACTCAGAAGCTGAGTTTGGAGCCAGTCCTGTCATGGTTCTGATGGGATGTAGGGTCGCTTACAGATGAATGAGTACTTAATGTCGCAGGGGCTATCATTCCAGGACTGAAGTGAAAGCACCCTTATGCTGACACAGTGTTCATTGAACCCAGAATTATTGGGCTCACCTGGAATCCAGTACCTACCAAGTACCAAACAAAGATAGATTTGCAAACTTACAAAACCAAAAAGAACTTATCTCCAGCCAAGAAATGAGTTACTTCAAACCCAGCTTTGATCTGGTGTTTTCACCCAAGCCTAAGAGGAAGGGGATTGGCAAGACGCCAACCCCTAAGCCTTCATTCATACCCCAAGTCAGGACCAAACCAACCCACCACTCTTAAGCTCCTACACGGAACCATACTGCAACACTTAGACTTAGGACAGGTCCCCAGCTGAAGATGCCAATCCCCAGAGGACATGGAGGGCCACACATCTATGCCAGGCTGAGCAGCCAATTATTGGCAGAAGCGTACTAGATGTCAGATCTTGTGTCCCTTCTACCCAGGAAAGGGAAGAATCTGAAACCCCATATTCAGGGTAAACCCTTCATGCCCTGGCCTTGGCCAGGGAAAGTCAGGCTGGAGGGGCTCTGGAGGCTTACCTCTCAGTCTGGGCCTTGTTGAATGGAGTGTCATCAATCCAGTGCCACCCCCCTTCAGTCCCTGCTTTGGTCAGGCCAATCCAGCGGATAACTTCTGCGGCTGACTTAGACAGAAACGCCTATAGGGAATACAGGATGTCCACAACTGGGAGTTGGAGCTTCTGTCTCTGGGTGTTCGTACCACGTTCTCACTGGCAGCCCTGAACCCACAGACACACTGGGCACACTGACCTTCTGCCCTTGCCCAGAGGCCAGTGAAGTTGATACACTACCCAAGTCTTTAGGACTAGTTAGACCAGTGGTTCTCAACCTGTGGGTCACGACCCACAGGAACTGTATTAGGAAGGTTGAGAACCATTGAGTTAGACAGTAGGGTTAGGACTTGAAAATCTGCTCAAAAAGCTCAGGCTCCCCCTCCCAGATGCATGGAGTCTGTGCAATATTCTACCTCACCAGGTAGAAGGTTTCTTGAGCCATGTGGTGTCATTTATGCTGTTCACAAATATTTCTGTTTTGGCTCAGGGCCTGTAGCTCAGTGGCTAGGGTGCCAGCCACAAACACTGGAGCTACGAACCCAACCCTGGCCTTCCAAACAACAAGAATAACCACAACCAAAAAATAGCCAGGCCAACGTTGTGGTGGGCGCCTGTAGTTCCAACTACTTGGGAGGCTGAGACAAGAGAATCACTTAAGCCCAAGAGTTTGAGGTTGCTATGAGCTGTGACACCATGGCACTCTACTAAAGGTAACATAGTGAGACTCTGTCTCAAAAAAAATTTTTCCCGTTTTCTGGGCACCTGGAATGATCGCATCTCCATGCCCTCTGAAGATAGGAGTACTGCATAATCTTCTTCAGCCAGGGACATCGAAACTCAAGTGACATGTCATTTCTGGGCAGATGCTTCAAGAGCCAAATGCACAATCTGCTGTTTTCTTTTCCTACCTCAGCAATTGTGAAAACATTTTAAGATGAAGTCTTCTTCAGCGTAGGTCCTTGAGTAACCACCGTGAGCAGAACCCCTCTGCCAACCCTCATTGGGTATGAAATATAAGTGAGAAATAATCCTTCTTCCTTAAGTCACCAATATCTAGGGATTTTCATTGCCACAGTGTAATCTTGCGCATCTTCCCTGATCTAACTGCTAATAAATCTGCTTCACAGAGCCCCTAGGAACAGCACTCACCTGCTCACTGTCTGAGGTCACTGAGGTCAGGTGTGAATTCTTGGACACACAGAACTGCTCAGCACTGTACCAGGTCTTTAGGACAGGAGAAAAGTAATAGAAGTTCCCATTGAAGTACCTCCAGCCTCGAGAAACCATCTGGAGAATGTCACCTGGAGAGTAAGAGCTGAGGGTGAATGCTGGTCTTCCTGTTTCCTCTGGGTGCTGGCTGGGTGAGGGCGCTTCAGTGGGATGTCAGAGACAGCAGTGAATGGGCCTGGGTTCTGGGATCCTTTGGTCCTTGTGCAGGGGATCAGGAACACTCTCACAGATCCTTAAAATCTGACCAAGACTTATAGAGCCTTTGGGATTAGACAGGAAAAAGTACAAGAGGCTGGACCAAGGCCAGGCACAGTGGCTCATGCCTGTAATCCTAGCACTCTGGGAGGCTAAGATGGGTGGACTGCTTGAGCTCAAAAGTTCAAGACCAGCCTGAGCAAAAGCGAGACCCCATCTCTACTAAAATAGAAAAACTGATGCAAGAAGTTTGCTTGAGCCCAAGAGTTGGAGTTTGCTGTGAGCTATGATATCACAGCACTCTATCCAGGGTGACAGCTTGAGACTCTGTCTCAAGAAAAAAAAGAGGCTGGACCAAGAACCTGTCTTTCCCATGAAGAAGCAATTCTCCACTCACCATGACAAGGGGCTGCACCCCTTAGTTCTAGGTAGGGAACTTGATAGGAAATAGCTAGGTAGGGTCTGGGACAGACACTCCCTAGGGCTTTCATATTCTCTACCTTGGTGTGGGAGCCTGAGCTAGACCCTGGCCTCTTCTCTCCTAACAGCTCCTAAGTTCTCCCCACCCCAATGCTAAGCTCTCTCTCCTTAACTTTCTAGCCCATGCCTGCCCACCCCCTATCCTCCACTTGCCTGACTCACCAGCCCAATAACCTCATGTCTGAGACAGACAAGGTGCCATAGGCCACTGGTCAGCTTACAATGTCATTTTCTCAGGCACTTACTTTGTTGTTTGAGCAACTTGCTGGTATTCTCCAAACTGCTCTGGAGGTTCCGGATTTTCGCATTTAAAGCACTGGCTTTGTCCAAATCTCTTTTTAACTCTGGAATTTGAGCATTTAAAGTATCAACTTCTTCCCAATTTCTTGTTAAGGTCTGGATCTGTGCATTGGCCTTCTCCACACTGGTTTGCAACTTTAGGATCTGAGAACGCACATGACTCAGGCTGGCATTCACCAGGTGGAACTGCAGGCCAGCTGCCTCCACACTACCACTGTTCTTCTTAATTTCAGAACCCAGGGCACTGATGTTGTCCACGCGACCTTTCAGCAACTGGGCATTGGTCTTTACATCTGATATTGTGCCCATAAACCAGGGATCTGTTTTTAAGAAAGTTAAGAGGATAGCTGAGGGGACCCCAGAAACGGGGGTGTTGTCAGGTTGATAAAAGGAACTGAAGGAAAGATGATAGGCTCGAGCTTCCCAAGGAGACAAGATAGTCCAAAGAACTATCCATGACCTTCTAGTCATTCTTTAATGTCCAACAATTATACAATGGGCAGCTACCATGTGCCAGGAACTCTGGTGGATACAGACAATGGGAAGATGGAAAAAACACAGTCTCTCTGTGAGAGGACCTCACAGGTAAACAGAGGCAGGGATTAGACAACAGTCCTGAATTTTTCAAGTGTTCTGGAACATTTGGTAAAGGGCTCCCTCTATCCTTTTCCCCAGCACTTGATTCTCTCTGGACCCCATCGTTTGATCACTAGTTCTCTGTTTTCAGAGACCCTAGCAGTGACCATCTGCTATAGCAGCACCACCCTTCCTACCTCTGTCCATGGGCCCCTCTGTGACCATGGGAAGGGCCAGCCATGCAGACTCTGCTATCTTCTCCAGAGAATACAGAAAAAGATTATGAAACCATCTCACCCCTTGCCCTACCCACTTTCATATTCTGCTCAGGTCATAGGCTTGGGTACCAGAGAGAGGGCCAAAGATAAACCAGTATGCTCAAAGGCACTTCCTATGGAAAAGACCATTAGAGAACAGGGGTCTAAGATGGAATAGGTGATGGTGGGGTTTGGGGAAGACTCTGCTCAGAGGCTACAAGTCTGAGACCAAATACGTCCCACAAAGGGAGGATACAAAAAGCAACAGCTTCTCGGGCTCCCTCGCTCTGCATCCTGCCAAGCTGGTGGAAGACAGAAGGGTCTGCCAGCAGCAGAGCCATGAAGCCTGGCAGGGCCGGGGGGGAAGGAAGATAAACCTTGCAACAATGAGTGAGTAGGAAGGCTCCCTTGTCATAATCTTCATAAGAGCATGAAGAGAGCATCGGGGGGCCCTGGTGAAGGAACTGAGCCGTGGAGATGTGTTGGCTTATTGCCAGCTTCTCCACCCAGTCAGTTGAGGCTGAGGACACACTGAAGGCTCAGTCCCTGACAGGATCAGAAGACATTGCACTCATCATCAGGGGCTGTCTGCAAAGCTCTGAACATCACAGAGCTCAGAGAGGTGGAGGTGTGGAGTAAGAAAATGGCATGTGTGAATGTTTCCTGGGGACAAAAGAGAGGAGGTTGGGCGTGGTGGCTCATGCATGTAATCCTAGCACTCTAGGAGGCCAGCATGTAATCCTAGCACTCTAGGAGGCCAACATGGGAGGATTGCTTGAAGCCAGGAGTTTGAGACCAGTCTGAGCAAGAGTGAGATCTCATCTCTACTAAAAATAGAAAAAAATCAGCCTGGCATTGTGGCAGGCTCCTGTAGTCCCAGCTACTTGAGAAGCTGAAGCAGGAGGATCACTTCAGCCTAGGAGTTTGAGGTTGCAGTCAGCTATGATGACACCACTGCACTCTAGCTGGGCTGAAAGAATGAAACGCAAAAAGAAATGTATCCTTGGGTGGTGCCTGTAGCTCAGTGGGTAGGACACTGGCCCCATATGCCGGAGGTGCGGTTTCAAACCCAGCCCCAGCCAAAACAATAATAATAAATAAATAAACAAAAATTTTTTAAAAAATAAATGTATCCTTGATCACAATCATGCAAGCAGTGATCCCAACCAGAACAATCTCCTTGAAATTGGGAAGGAAAGAACAGCAGCAGATGGGGCACTCTGTTACTGGATGTGGAGAGAGGAGAAGGGAGACAAATGAAAAGTCCCAGGCAGGAAAGAGCACTGGAGAGCGAGAAGAGAAGGTCTGCACCTGGAGGGAGCCTGCTGGCCTCTAGGAAAGGCTAAGTCAGAAGGTAAAACATGGGGACTCACAGAGGATGCCCTGCAGCAGGAGGGAGGCGACCAGGACCAGCGTCAGGCAGACTAATACAGCACCGATTGCAGGAGCTTTCCTCAGGACCACACACAGACCCGACTTGGGAGGAGGCTCTGCTGGAAGAAGAAGTAAATGTTTGTTGAGGACCAGCAAAGGGCACAGAGCACCGAGCACATTCTGAGCAGCACGTGGTGCTTGCCTTGCGGCCAGAGGGAGATGTTCTGTTTGTCCACGGTGAAGTGCGCATCAGGGATCTCCCCCTCTGTACCCTTCATCCTCAACGTTCGTCCTTGTCCTGGCAGCACAGGTGCTTCTGGCTGCCTCTATCCTCAGGAAACTTTTATGTCAAGGGAAATAGGAAGTGAATCCCACAGCAGATCACCATGTCATCCCAAACTTCCCCATTCCTAACTTAGACACCTTGCCGGCCTAGGCCAAAGCTCAGTCCTCTCCTCTAAGGTCCAAGCTTTCAGGAAGAGGCCATTTGTCTTCCTCTCTGGGGGTCTGTTACATAGACAGCCACCTTAACCCAAACTTATCCCATTTCCCTTTTTAAGATTCACCATCATTCATCCATCTGTTCACCCCACAAATATATAGTGAGTGCCTTCCAGGCACCAGATACTCTACTAGGCATGGGGGCACATAACAAGTAACTCGTGGTCCTTGCTCTCAAGCAGCTCATGGTCTGGTGGGAAAGACAGACCTGAGCAAACAAATCACAGCACAGGTAATGAGCCTAATGATGAGTAGATATGCTCAGTTCCAAGGAAGTACAGAGAATGGAGGAAGCTTCAGATGAGCATATTCCGAAGGATAGGACGTAAAACAGCATGGAGTGCTTGGCAAATTGTAAATAGTTCCTGTGTTATTGGAGCGCAAAGTATATCACAGGAAGGGGAAGGGCAGGGAACTAAAGAGACACCTGGTGTCAGATCATGAAGATCCCTTTGGATCATGTTAAGGAGCTTGATCTCTGATTATGAGTGACATAGGGCCAGGGAAGGACTCCAGACAGAAGTGAATCTTTCTAAAAGCAGGATATGAATGTTTTAATAACTAAGAAAATGACATGAACCAGTTTGATGAGAGTAGTTCAAATTGTATATGAAAACACCACGCTGTACCCCATGATTGCATTAATGTACACAGCTATGATTTAATACAAAAAAAAAAAAAAAAGAACTTCAGACAAGAGAGAGACAAGGAAAGGGCCAGTGTAGAAAGATCATTTGGATGGTGGTGAGGAGAATAAAGTAGGGTGTGGGTAGCCTAGAAGCAGACCACTTAGGAGACCACTGCAACATATTCTACTTTTGTTATTAATTCATCCTTGCTGACACAATATCCTGTTATTAAATGCAACTGGGAGATTCAACATGTAAATGTAAGACTTGGAAAATGGGGGGGGAAATTTGCAAACTGTACATCCAACAAAGAACTAATATCCAGAAACTACAAAGAACTCAAACAAATCAGCAGGAAAAAAAAAAAAAAAAACGCCCTCAAAAAGTGAGCAAAAGACATGAACAGACTTTTTTCACAAGAAGACATACATACAAATTGCTGACAAACATAACAAAAAAAGTGCTCAACATTACTAATCAACAAGGAAATGCAAATTAAAACCACAGTGAGATCCATGTTACCCTTACCCTTGTCAGAATGGCCATTCATAATAAGAAAAATAAAAACAATAGATAGGTGAGGATGCAGTGAAGAGGGAACTCTTATACGCTATTGGCAGGACAGCAAAGTAGTATACAACCTTTATGAAAAACAGTATGGAGATTCCTCAAGAACTAGAAATTCCACTACTGGGTGTCTACCCAAAGGAAAAGAAATCATTATACCAAAAAGACACCTGCACCTGAATGTTTATCACTGGTTTACTCACAGAAGTGCCCCTGGGTTGATGAGTGGGAAAAGGAAATCTGGCATATGTACACCATGGAGCACTACTCAGCTGTAAAAAGTTATAAAATGATGTCTTTTGCAGCAACTTGGATGGAGCTGGAGACCATTATTCTAAGTGAAGTATCTCAGGAATGGAAAAACAAACACCACATGTTCTCACTTACAAATGGGAGCTGAATGATGGGTATATATGGGCATAAAATGAGTTGCAGGACATTGGAAATAAGAAAAGAGGAAGGTAGAGCAGGGTGCAGTGGCTCGCGCCTGTAATCCTAGCATTCTGGGAGGCTGAGGCAGGTGAATTATTTGAGCTCAGAAGTTCTAGACCATCCTGAGAAAGATTGAGATCCCCAACTCTATTAAAAATAGAAAAACTAACTGGGCATTGTGGTGAGTCTCTGTAGTCCCACCTACTCAGGAGCCTGAGGCAAGAGGATCACTTGAGCCCTGGAGTCTGAAGTTGCTATGAGCTCTGACGCCGCCGTGACACTCAACTCCAAGGTAACTGAGTGATACTCTGTTTAAAAAAAGAAGAGGGAGAAGAAAGAAGAAAGAAAAGAAAAGAGGGAGGTAGGAGAAGGGTAAAAGATCAAAAATTATCCTGTTGGGTGCAATGTACATTGTTTTGGTTACAGGTATACTAAAAGCCCTGATTTTACTGCTATATAATTCGTCCATGTCGTTGAAAACACTTGTACCCCCTAAATCTGTATAAATAATAATTTTTTAAGGCTTAGATTCTCCTCCCTGCTTGCTGCAGCATGTGTACTCCTCAAACAGAATGAGGAAGCTCAGCAGCATTAGACTAGGAGACGTTTTTCTCTCTCCTCTGCCACCCTTTCTGCCCCACCTCCTCTCTCCTTCCCCTGTAGCTCTAAATAGAGAGCTACATAGGTGGGAGATGCTCAGAATAGAGACGGGCTGATCTTGGGTGACTTCTTAAGCTTTGAAGATGCCTGCAAATCTGAGAAACCTGGTACATAACAGACTCTGGACTAACATTTCTTGGAAGGTAGGAAATAGGGGAAAGAAAAACAAGATAGAGGGGGAAGAATAAAAAAGGAAGGACATCAGTCCAGATAACTGTAGGATGGAGGATGGATGGATGGATGAATGAATGGATGAATGGATCAATGGGATAAGGGATGAGTAGGTAGAAGATTGGTGGAGGAATGGATGAATGATGCTAAGTGAACAGAAGATCTGATGGCCAATCATGATGACTCTGACATCTACACAGTCTGTAGACTTGGATCTCCCTTCCAGAAGGTACTGCTTTCCACTCTCTCCAGAAGTTCTCATTTATTTTAACTGCAAAGGCATAAAGGGAAGTATAATTTTTTGCTAATTCTTTTTATTTTATTTATTTTTTATTTTGTTTTATTTTATTGTGTTCCACCCCCAAGAGGTATACCATACACTGTAACCTCCCCATCCCCTTCCCACCTCCCCTCTACCCGCTCCCTCATTCCTGTGCCCCCCCACCTTGAATTGATGTGAATTTTTCCCTAATGTGGGTATGCTTTAGATCGTCTACTGGCTTCATATTAGAATTGAGTACATTGGATTCTTTCTTCTCCATTCTTCTTTTCTAGAAAGAATGTAGGGAAGTGTGATTTAAACATTACTCAAGAATGAACAAAAGCTCTGGCCACAGGACTAGAAAGCTTATCTGGCCTTGTTGAGTCTGAGCCAGTGCAGCTGGGTGACAGGTGCTATTCAAAATCAGGATTGAAGGTTAAATGATCAGGGCCAAAGAAATAGCTACCCACACTTTCAGGGGCTTCTGCTACCTTTGGTATTTGAGAGGATCCTGCCTTCATCCTCAGCCTGACCCCATCTGGTAGCCCATTGTACTTACAGACCCTTGGGGCTTTTTCTCCAGCTACCCCAGGCTGGGGCTGCTTCTCTGACTGGATAAAGGAAGCCAGAGAGGATTCACACCACCCTTCCCAAGCCCTGGGAAGAAATTCGGGCAATGAAGATAGCGTTCCATTTGTCCTGTCTCATCTCCTCTCTACCCACGTGTGAGCAGACCTGCTCCCTGACCTCTGATGTTGGCTAATTCCTAACCTGAGGGCCTGACTCTAACTCACTGCCTGCCTCTAGACTTTTATGAATATGTCCACTCTCTTCAGGCTGATCGTTTAGTTGCAAACCCTTAGAATGGGTTAGAACATTCTGCCTCTGGACCATCATACTTGGTACCCAGTCTAACTCCAGACTCCTGGCCTACATCCACAACCTGCCATAGTCCAGGGCCTGGGCATAGAGAAGAATACAAATTACTCCAGATCCTTAAAGAAAGGGTCTCCCAGGGATCCTGTTCTTCTCCTGGGAATTTGAGGATTAAAAGCTGCCACACAACATACCTTAGGAGTGTCTAATCCCTTCCCCCTGGTAGGCAGTTTAATATACCCAAATCTCTTCTGGTTTGTAGCCTGAGTTATCATTGATAGAGCCCCCCAGGTGCTCCCTCACTTCCAAGAAAGGATCAGGAAGGCTTACCAAGTGGGGGCCCATTGCATAGGAAAGGGCTGGGCAGGAAACTTTCACCCCAAGTGATGGAAATGGAGGTGTCAGGTGGATACCACTGGTCACTGAGCAAAAGGCCAATCCAGCATGAGGAAGCTGAGCAAGAAGCATGGAGTCACAGGCTGTGGGCCCTCTGGGGTTTCAGAGAATGTGGGCATGAAAGTCCCAAACCATAAGTGGTTTCATTTCCCACTTTGCAGGGAGAGAGTCACACGCTATCCTCCTGTGGCCATGCTCACCTGCAAGTATTTACCAAACACCTCCCCTCTGCTGTCTGGCCCTGGCCTGGGAGGAGAAAAGAGGGAACAGGAGGCAGGTGCCATAGCCACTCTTTCCAGCCAGGAAAGTAGGCAGTGTCCTGGATACTCAGGTAACACCCTACTCTCACACACAGAAAAGTCACCAGAAATCACTGCTGGGATGAGAGAAAGGGAAGTCCATGCTCGTTTTGTCTTTATTATTTCCTTTCTCTTTGTGTTACTGAAGTTTAGGAAATGACTTGGCCACTTTCCCCCCTTCTCTGGTTGAGTTGAGCCTGTGCTTGGAGGGAGACCATGGACAAAAATCAATGAGAGTGGAAAAGAGCCTCAGGGTATTTGAGATGCCCCAGCAGTGCTAAGAGCCATCTCCAAGGAGCAGTAATCCAAGTCCCTCAGCCAAGGGACTCAGCATGGAGGAAACTAGAGTGGACAACAAGCTGGGGAGTGGGGACAGCAAAAGAGTGGGAGGGACAGGGGCAGTGGGAAAAGAAGGGCAGAATGACTATGAAATAAGAGATGATTATTCCAGCTAGACAGGCCTGGCCCACAGACCTCAAAGGGGACACTTACATGTACTGTGGGGGATTCAACCAGCAG